AAAAAAAAATCTTACTTAATACAAAATTACAAGCCAATAAAGACAAGTTTCAATTTATGTATGAAAAAATCTTAATAATAAAACAGAGAAGCGATAAGCAAAACAAGAGCCAACTACTTTTCATGAACTATTACATATTATAAGCATAACTTATAGTAACAAATATTAAATATTTAGACCACGACAATGTTAAATTAGTTTATAAAAATTATTCACTACAAGCCAAACCAACCGAGCAACATTTGCACTGCTTTTAATTTATCATTCACAATTTAATTACTTTATAAAATTTTCTTTCCATATTGTACAGTGATTTCGAAAAAATAATATGAATAACTGACCAAATAAGTGCTAGAAAATCCATTCAGTTATTCAACGCTACCATCACAACTTATGAACTAATTGGATCATGAATCATGCAATCACAGTATGCATGAATATCGATGCACATAATGAAAAGTACGAGCATTTGAATAATAAAGCATCTGGCTCATTTTTATTTACACAATTACTGCATTAAGAAGGATTGTTAATGCAACAAAATTTGAAGGCCATTGATTTGCATGCAAATATATTCAAAATGTAAAGGATGCCTCTAAATCTCAAAAAGATTATAATTAGAATAGAACTTTATTAAATATTAATATTACTCTGTAAAAATGAATGGTTTTAAAGTAGTTTAAAGTAACTAACCATTACCAGCACATGAGGTTGGAGTGTTAACTACTGTATGCATGGGAGATGGTACAGGAGTACGGTTATTGCTACTACACTGAAAATTGTATTGTTGTGCACCGGCAGCATGATGTGATGCTGTAGGCGCAGATGGCATTATAAAAGCGGATATTGATCGTTCAGTAGTGCTACCTCGAGTACCTGTAGATCACATCAGTTATCAATTCTTATCGTAGCTTATAAGTGGCAAAAGCTTGCTTAGAATAAGCAATATTGCTGAGTGACAAGTTATCAATTCGTTGAGTATTCATTTAATAAATGAAGGTATTAAAGTAAGCACTCAAAAATTATTAACTTATTAATTAATCTCTTAATAACCTCACAAATTAAAATGCTTATCGCTTGCAGTGCAAAAGATAGTTAGAGGAAAGCGCTAGCTAGCTAGCTAGCTAGCTAACCTTTGCCACTTAGGCGGTAATCTATAAATTTAACAAAGCAACACCGTCAGTGTTCCCTTCATTTATCACACACATTTCCTCCTGTTCTCTCTTCCCATTCTCTCAACGCCTTCCCACGTACTTCATTCACTCGCCTTCCTTTTTCTCTCTTTCCCCTCATCTCTCCCCGCGTTCTTTCTTTTGATTTTTCCTCTACGCTGCAATTTTTCGTAATCTCTCTCCACTTTCAGTCTTTCGTTTCCCGAACCTCTCTCTCACCTGTCCATACCTCACTCTTGGTCAAATCAATCCTCTTAAAAGCATTTTATGTAATTTGTTTGGTAAACAACACTTTTTTATTGTATCGATAAAAATCAGTACTCTTAGCACTCTCTATTCATAATAACACTTTTAATACGTCTAATATCTGTTTGGTAAGAAATGAGAAATATTATCAATACTTGAAAGTGATATGCATACAAATTATTTCAATACTTATATGAATTTGAGCTACAAAATTACTTGCTGTTTACGAGATCAATAACTTCTTCATATTATTTTTACAAACTTTCTGTTCCTACATCGAAAATCTTTAATACAAACTATAATGGTACAACAGTAAGCAATGCTAATCTTGTTGAAAAAAGAAATGAAAATATTCATTAATATTCAGTAATTGTATTAAGTTATTGCTTATTTCACGGATTTGTTTTCCATGATTAATACTGCTTCTTCCCCTTACACTTTACACGTAACGTTCATTTCTTTTTTAGCTTTCAGTCAATAAAAAACACATCTTATGACTAGAAATTATTATTGCTGTTAAGTGCACAATAAAAGATACCAGCATTTAGCGTGGAACCTTCTCGTCTGTAGACATAATTGTTAGGTAAGTGAGGAGTATTACTGGATGAAGAATAGAACCCATGACGTCCTTTTTTAGCACTAAGTTGTTGTTGTTGTTGCAAATGTTCTTGCAAAGGTAAAGCTGACACAGATCGTTGGTGGTGATAAGGCGTTCCTTTAGAATTATGCCCATTTGCATGAGCAAATTCCTGTACAAAAGAGATTTTCATTTGTAATGTCTATTTCAATTGAATTAATTAATTTAGTTTGTTATTTAATACATAAATAATACGTAAAAATGACATATTTGTAGCAAATGAACTTATTCAAATTCTCTACAAATGCTAACCTGATAAGTACTGTTTCGATGATCGCTAGCAGTACTGCCAGCTTGATATTTTGATGGCGTTGTTGGAGTAGTTGACGTTCTTGTACTACTTGAAAAACTACTCAACAATCGCAATCTCTGTTGCAGAATTTTTTGACAAGCTACAAAAGTCAATTGGTAAATAATCGAATTTAATCTCAAATAATTTAATGTCAAACAACTTATTCTAAAATTTTAGATGAGTAAAAAGCAGCTTGATATTTTATTTCTATTAATTATTAATTTTAACACAGTTATTAAGAGAACGCAGTTTTGCTACGTGATCTTTTAAGTAACCACTAATAACTTCATGCTGCATGAAAAATTATTTCTCAGTGCTAATCAAGGTAGAGATTAAATGATCATGATCAATACGTCCTGATAAGAAAAGCTGTTCACCTATATCCGAGAATGTTTTATACCAAAATTATATAGTATGACAAAAGATCAAGAACAGCTTACTGATTTGTTGTTTGTTTACAGGAATTTAAAGAAGAAGTATATTAGTTAAATTAAAAAATAAGTACATCTCTGCTAACATTATCACTTCAAAATTTTTGTCTTCATTTCTTCATATAATGCATTTATCACAACAGTGATTTAGTAAAATTCTATCTAAGAAACAGATCTTGAATATAATTGCTGTGGATTGGAATGAAGAAAGTAACGATAACGAGTTAATTTGAAAGTATCGTTACAGGATAAGAAAAGAGTAAACTGTTTTACTTAAATGACTTGAAATTCAATTACTTTAGTTCCAATTAGCTTAAGAAAAAAATTGAGAGCAAGATAATAGGATAGCTTGATCTATCTTACACTGCAGGGTTACAAAAAAAGATATCAAGAGAATTAAAGACTAGATAGATATATCCAATTATACGATATGGTTAGTATGTGCTAGTAAACAAAAGTAGCAGTAGACAGAATGAATGTAAACAAATAAGTAGAACGAATAGCAATTATACAATACATTATTTCAAGCGTTTGCGAATTCATAAAAACAGCATTTAAAAAATTATAAACCTTAAAAATTTCATATTCAACTTTTTAACAATGTAAAATCGTTTTTGCTTAACAATTTGAAGTGCAACATTTCCTTCAGGCAAATGATATAAGAATCACAAGAAAAGCGATAATAACTGATATTTTCAAACTGAAACTAAATGTTTTCTACTTCAAATGCATTTAATTCAAATAACGGCCATATTTCAAATACAAGTTTAGCAATGATTCTTCAACATCTGCTCGAAAATGCGACTATTATATACAACGAAAAGCATATAAAAAGTATCGTTTTTTGTCTCTCACCAATACATTCGAGCAAATTTAAACATAAATAAATATTCTATCCAAATAACTTTTCTCAAAATTTGTCCCAAAAAAATATTCATATTACGAGTGCCTACTAGCAAATATGCATACTACAGGTAAGTAACGATTGGCATTATCTGGATTTTCAAAATTTTTAAAAATTAAGATCAATGTTCATAGAAAAATAGAAGCTCGTTTTTGATCAATTTATATTTACTAACTTTTCATTCAAATATGAATTAGATAAGAAAAAGATAAACGAAACTAAAAAATTTAGAACAAGAAATAAAAGATCTTACTGTAAGAATCCATTAGTAATAGTAACTGAATGAAATTGCATAAAATGAAAAAATTGCTCTGTAAAATGAATTTACAGGTTAAAAGGTTATTTCCTTCGTCTCAAACTACAAGATATGAATAATTTTTCAATTTTACAGTGCCAAATTTTAACTTCACAACAGAAAAGTAAATAAAAGCAAAATAAGAAATCGACAAAAAGTATACAAATCTCACTACTACTAATGTAAAAAAAATGCAATTATTATGCTTCTACTTTATCACTTCGTAATCTTCACCAAACTCTTCCTCCTCACAATTAATATTTTCATAGTTTACAGTACAACATTTTTTTACTATCTATGCATATTTAGTAGAAGTAATATTAAATGACTTTTATTAATAAATTTTACAATTGATATTCCTCTCAGTAACAAGACAACTAAGTAGAATTCTACTACTATATGACTTTAGAAACAATTACGTATCGGATTTAAACGATGAGTTTATAAATAACGCATATGAATAAGCATCTGTAGCGATGACAATCACAAAATATGATATTAAGATTACCCATCTGAAAATATATGAAAGGATTTGCAGCTGAAAAGCAGTTACGTTTGATAGGATAAATCACTGATCACTAAAAAAGGTATTTTTTGATTACGACAAATCAAATTACAACTCTTTTTATGACAATAATTAAGAACATAAAAAAAACTGAACAAAGGTTAAAGTTAGTGTACAATGTGAAGATTATTCTTAGGTAGATATTACTAGTTACATCGAAATGTATTCACAAATTAGAAACAATTAATTACATCAATAAAATAAGCACAAGCCAATATTTACAGCGTAAAACTTTCAGTACGTTTAACTACTGAATTGTTACTATTATTATTATTGTTATTATTATCAATGCAATTATTTTTATCGATATTATTATGATTGTAATCGTTTTAATGAGATGATGAATGATGAGCATATATTGATAACTTCAGGAAAAAATACATTTCATCAATGATCGAGAAAGAATCAGAAAACTTTTAGTAAGTAAATAATACAACTTATTTTTGTGCTTTCATTAGAGTAAACATGACAGATGATGATTTTTATTTTTATGATGAGTACTGATAATGAAAAGTATAAATATAATACTAGCTTATTTATAACATTTTAGTACTTTTTTACTGGAAATGATCTGCTTGAAACATAAATAGACGACTATATATATATATAACGAAGGGCAAGGCTGCGGACGAAAAGCGCAAAATAGAAAAAGGCCGGAAGGAGCAGAATTTTCTATAACATCTGCTCTCGATTTATCTTTCATCCAGCATATAAATAACGATAATAATAAAGCCATCTGAGATGCTTTTAAATCAGATATTAATAATTGTATATTAAAAATTGTATACTCTTAATAAGGAGTTCACAATGAGCAGATGAATGATAAATATGCTTCGTGAAAATGAAAATATGAACTACTTCTAGCGTACTAAGTATGAATACACTTGAAAATTCTAGCAGCGAGCAACGATTACAAACTACTGCTCGAAAAAATAAAAAATTCTCAAAAATTACTGCTTAAGTAACTGTATTGTGACTAATAAGATATAACAGTATTGATGAGCAGTTAAAATTTTCCGATTTATTAATTTAGATTCAAAATCATTATATTTAATAATGAAGTAGAAAATGCTCAAGTAAAGAGGATTATTTCTTATACAAATATTATTTTTTCTCTCGATGCTTAAAAATTTCTTTCATTACGGTTATTGTAACTAAAATCGCGATAAACTGGCAAACACTCACCATCTTTGAACACGCGATCTACGTTTAATCCATATGTTGAGCATGCTTCATAATAACCTGAACACTTTGGTAAATTTTTAGCCATTTGACGCCCATCTTGTTCGTTAATTATGCGCGGTTTTGATTCCGTTACTGCGTCCTGAAATTTCTTAATCGCACTGATTACATATAATTCTCACAAATAATAGACAACATTTTATTTTAGCTTGAAAGAATAATGCATTGTTAATCTGCATGATTAAAAACTTTGTTTTGCTTCATTTATATGTGCCAACAAAGCCAAATTTTTAATCGAATTTTTCCAACAACACATTTTGATATTACTTAAAACAATACGTTTACTACGAAACACGTCATTTACCTGAGTTCCAACCATTATTACAGGTATTTCTGTAATATTCCGATATTTAGCCATTTGTTCGTAGTAATGAAAAGCGGTTTCAATACTTTCTTGACTTTCCAGCGAGAATACAAATATCACAGCATCCACCCACTGGGCAAACTTAAAAAATTTAATGTTAACTTTTTTTGTTCAAGTAAATAATTTTGTTAAAATTAACTTACAGGAAAAAAATCCGAAAACTAAATGATTAATTATGGAATGAATTCCAAATTCACAAAATTTCTATTACAAATTTTTCACTAAAAAGGAAGTGAATGAAAAAATAATGCTATAAATCTTATAATAATCATAATATTCATTCATCTCTAGCAAATTAACAGTATAGAAAATAACAAAGTATGACAGACAAAAACAAACTACAAAATTTTAGTGAAAGTGAATAAAAACTCAGAATGTATGACTTATTAAAAATGAGTAATGTAGCTAAAAATGGTGCACATGCAATCAAAATATCATTAGCTGAACAATAAAAATAGATGAGAGAAGGGTTGGAGCAGTAAATACACTCATAAGTTATGCATATTTTCAACAGCTGCTCCAAACTGATATGCTTTGTCGCTGTGTGACTGACATAATGTACACTAATGACTTTGATTGGATTGAATGCAGATTCAAATCAGTAGATAACTTTAGTCAACTGTTAACTTCAAATTTAGATAACTAAAAACTAAACAAAATGATAAAAATTGAGAAAGAATACTACTTCATTAAGGAGAATAATTTGATTACAATCACATATTCTCAACAACTTCAACTTAGTAGTAGTACATCACTACATGAAAAAAAATTTAGCATTAGTATACGAGAAAACACCAAAAAACTTAATCAGTGTATATTTTTCATTGATTTAATTACACATTTTTTACACTAAAATTTATCAGCACACATTTTGAAGCACTATTACTTTCAATACAAAGATAACTTAATGAATACAAAAATTTGATATACAAAAGAATTCCATGAATAACAGTTTTTAGTTTTCAGATATATATCCTAAATAAGCTTGATATTTTAACAGACCTGATAATCTGGAGAAGCGCTTCCTTCGTCTCGTATGAGTAATAGATAACTTTGACCGTCGAGTACTACTTCTTTCTTGAATCTACCTCCTACAATACAAACTGATAACAATATACTGAAGATTCGAACATTAAAATATGACAAGTAAATTTATGCCTGAAATATACTCACACATTCAGATTAAAATGAAAATCCCTCAAATTAACTGCAAAACAGAATTAAATTTACAAAAAGGCTGAGCTCACCTTCAGGTGACTCTTCGTTTGTGTAAGCGCCAGTTAGGTAACGATGTACAAGTGATGTTTTGCCACTACGTAGCGATCCAACAAGTCCCTCAAATTCACTAATTAACTCGTATATTATTAATTTAAAAACTTGAAAACAAACTAAATCAAAAGCTAATATTATTATATAAATGAGTAATACTTTTCTTCCGTAATAAATAATATAAACTAAACGCAACAACGCCAACATAATGAAAAATAGGCAAAAAACAAATTACACCACTATTCAACAGGACCAATTAATATATTATTTTATTCAAATTGCACAAATTAATAATCTTATAAATTAAGACAGAGATCATTTAAGTCATTTTAACTTAAACAGTTCTGAAAAATGTTAATGAAAATAACATTTCTAAAACTAATACAACAAATTTCAGAAAGCAAAAAATAATTTGTATTATTAGATAAAATAGCTAAATGAAATTTTAAAATTGCAAAATAATGGAAATAAAATATTGTACAAAATATGCAAAATTTCTCAAACAATTTACAAATTCTTATCGTAAAATAGTCAAGTTAGCAAATTAGTAGAAGTAAAATCAAAAATAAAAATGACAGTAACCGAACAAAGCGATGAACAACTGATGTGTTGATCAGCCGTTCAACTTATTCTTTCTCAGAGTGCTGGCTATTTTCCTCAAATTCAAAAGTTTTAGAAAATTTTTGAACAAAAACTGAAGTGAACAATAAAGTGAAATGAGTGTACAAACTAATTTGTAATACAGCTGTTCTCATTGAAAAATATTCCACTCATTCTGCTTTTATTATTATTCATTTGAATTTCCTTTGTTCAAAAAAATTGTTTTTTACAAGTGATTTATACTAATTTCAAAATTTCTTTTCTTAATAACTGCTCACAATATCTTTAGAATTATTGCATTTTTACATATACTTGAATTCAGTAACATAAACATACATCATAATTAATTCCTATTTTAAAATTTCAAAAAAACCACCAAATTTTTTAAAATAAACTTATAATACTCTTGAACCTTCGTACTAAAAAACCAATAATCTTCTAGTCATTAAACTATATAATTTTTAGATTAAAAAAAACCATCAAAAAAGCTTATCGTCATTATTATTACTGCCGGACTTTTTAATTATATCCGTAAATTTTGAATTTCACAGATTTCGTTTCTAAATATAATACAGAACAACATTATAAATAATTTTTATTATGCAAATATTCTCATTTTTCTGCTAAAATTATTATCAACAGTTAGCCTAATACAACACAAAAGGACTGGAAAGAAATGAGGAAAAGGGAAATATATTTATAAACACTTTCTGATTTACATACAAATATTTTGATTCAGTACGTAAACTTGTTTAAACTACAACTTGAAATGAGATTATACCAGTTTGGGAATAAAATAAAAAGACTGTATTCGTTATTATATAGTAAGTAAATGAGTGATAAATAATAAGTGATGGCACTGATTTATCTGCTAATGGATTTTATATGAAATGATAAAAGAACAAATAATGTCTCAACAATTTTTACTTAATTACTGATAAAGAAAAATACTGCAAAATAGTCATCAATGAGTAATCGAGACTGATATTAATAAGGAGACAACGAAAAATATGAAAAGTTACTGAATCAATTATCAAATATAGAAGTCAAATAACAGATCAACAATTTCGTATTTTTGATGACCTAAATTGATATGATAATAAGAGTGACAATTAGATAAATACAAAAGTAACTAATTAAAAATACGAATGAAAATTGATAAATGAAAAATTATTGGAGTTAATGAGAAAAAATTAGCCATTCAAAGACAAATACGTTTTCGTACTCCTTAAGATGGTTATGAGATGGGTAAAAATAGAGGGAGAGAATAATTACGAATGTGAACCATGACCTCTGACATTAATGTCAATGTCAACATTTCTTTTCGTTTCCTACTCTTATATGTTAGAACTCTGCCTTTACATTTCACACGTATTTGAAAAAATAAAACAGTTGCTAGCAATATATTCAACGTTTCTGAAATTTTAACTTCGCTAAACAAACAATTTTTGAGTATTACTGAAGCTTATACCTTACTCACATAAATTTAATTAAACAATGCTAGAAAATACGAATCCATAATTCGTAATTTATGATTACATCCCACACACTACATAATCACAAAGATTTCAAGTTACGAGGTTTTTGAATTTTAAATTAACCATTAAAATGAATTGATGTGATTATTTGAATAAAATGAATTAAATACATTGCAGAACTTTAATTGTAAAAAGCTGACTTTGAATATTTAATGTCTGATTGGAATAAAACAAGCGTTCCATATGATTTTATGAGTAATAAGAAGTGCTCAAATTGCAGCTAGCTTTGAATTTATTCATCTGTAAAAATTACAGCTCAGTAGCAATTCATATATATATGAAAATCAAAATTGCTCTTTATAAAACAAATTAATCAGATATTTATTACGATAATCGAAACATTGATTATGCAGCAATTTTTTAGCGACTAATTAGTTTTTAATGGATAAAAGTAGTAACAAATTTGTGCAGCAATTTGTATGGATTTCATTTAGGATGATATCAAGGTCAGGGTCATAGAAGCAACTGAAATCAGTTAAACAAACACTACCATAACTTGTACCTGTCTTCTAACAAATTATAAAACAAAACAAAAAAATAGATCGAATTTAGAACCAAAATAATGTTCTGTGCAACATTTTTGACGACAATTTTTATGAGACTTATGTTTAATTAAATTTAGCGAATATTTGTCTTTCAAATAATAATTACTCATGCAGTTATCTATGAATATAGTAAGTAATCGATGAGAGAAATTAGTGAAATTATTCAAATTCTTACGATATGACCAAAAACGGACACAAATTTCCAGTAGTACAAATGTACAATAAAGATACTAAAATAGATAATACTACAACACGTACAAAATAAACACGGGTCACAAGAACCTAGTTAGGAAGCTAGGGCAGGGGTTTCTCCTTCTATTGGTTCCTTAACCCTTAGTCTTATATCTTAACATCAAAGGTCACTTCAATTTCTAATAAATACATATTATATTAATAATATTTAATTTGTAAGCAAAACACATGCCTAATAGTACATTTCAGCAACAATTCACGCTTCTATCAATAAAAATTTTATAAATCACTATTTGAATAATTTGTTGCAATGTCAGCACGGAGTTGTCAGTTTGTGGGGGAAAAATCAATTGCAGTTTAGAGATGTAGAGAGGCAAAATACCCTTAGTCATTAATTTGAAATCTGACCTCTGACCTCCCTATTTTTTTGCAAGGAATAAAGTGCTACTTCGAACAAATTTCTATCAAAGTTTTAATTTTAGACTAATCAAACAGACTGCACTTACTGATAAAAAAACAAGAGTTCGGTTCGACGTGCTACCATTTTAGAAGGACAGTTTCTTGAATAAATCAAGTTGGTTATCATCGTACACTACTTATCCTTTGACCTATTTTGCTTACGAAACTACGATTAAACTTAATTAATGATTAAAGCCAGAAAACAGAAAGCATCTGGAAGCTCACAAGCACTTCAATTTGAGCTAAATTAGCCGTGCTAATTTAAGTTTTCTTTCGGATATCGACAATCTACACTATAAATCTTTGACGCGATCTCAAATGACTTAAAAACATCTGCTGGATCTTTACAACACTAAGCACTTTTCTTGCCCCTTTCTTATACTGCTAGGCCTATGTTCGTCATACTTCTTAATCAAGAAGACGAAGCAACTATATATTTGATTAAATAGTATTACTTGAAGCATAAAATCTAATCATGGATGGATTTTTTATGCAATTCTCACTACATCATTAGTAATATTCTGTACAAAGATGTCGAGATATGTCTCGAATGGCTTGAAATGAAATCAAATTCACGAAATCCACTATAACCGTCCCTCTGGGATGCTTTCTTAACTTATCTCCAAATTTTTTAGAGTAAAGTAGAAAGTTGTTTTCAATTTTCCTCAGTATCAATATTTTATTTGACATGGAGATTAATCATAGAAATTCATTTCTTTATTTATATTCTTCATTGAGTGACGGAAATTACATTAAATACTTGAAATAATTATGGCTAAATTTAACATATGTGACAAAACTTTAATACTAATCATTTCATATTATTTTATTTACTAGTCATTCCATATCTAGAATGACTTTGACTGCAGTAAATAACTCTTTTCATTTTTCAAGAATTTTAATTCCTATTTGCAATCAATTCATTTCCGATTTTTTTAATTACTGAAATGTATGGATGGAATAAATCAGTCCAATTTCATGCATTCCTTTATAATCCAGTAGGTGAGAGTAAGAATTTTAATACTTGAAATAATGATGGAATTTTAATCAATGATATTGAGTAATGATAACACTAAAAAAAACATGTCAATTAAAAACAAGAATATAACTGAACTCAAATACATAAATAAATAAATAAATAAAATAAGTAATTAAAAGAAAATGAAAATGCTAGAACACAAAAATAATGACTACAAGTGAATAAAAAAATTCATGCTAATTAAACATTTCAAGCAGATGTTCAGATGGATATTCACTAATTCAAAAATTATCTCATAATTACTGTGCTTAATATACCCGAGTACAGTTTATTTGAAATAATTTCAATATTTCTAAAATACTAACAAAAGAAAATGCATACCCATGAAGTTAAAAATTAGTTATAATCCTGTGGTTACTTCAGATTATGATAATGGCAATTAAACTGATATAATGAGAAATGATAATATCGTTAGTAGTTTAACTATATTAGTAAGATAATTTATAATAATAACAGTTAAATAATTGTGCTTTAGTACAGAATTAAAACGAGCATGAAGCAAAAAACAGCTCTACAACTTTCCAAAACACTAAATTCAAATGATAAAACCTCCAAAAGTATGCATATATCTCAAATGCTTTATTTCGCACGCAAAAATGAAAAATTCAAGAAATAAATAAAACTAACTAATTTCAGTTCAGCCACTCCTCGACTTAGCGTCCATTCTTGACTGTTTACAAATGCATCTGAAATAATTTAATCAAACCGAATAAATGGAAATTACATGAAATAATTGAAATTTTTTTGACAAATTTAAAATGGATCTTTTTAACTTTCTTAAAATTAAAACTTTTCCATAAATTTGAAAATTTCTCACTAGCTATAATTAAACTCAAATTTGAAAGTACTGACCTCAGATATATAGAAATTATTAACAATTCAATACAAATCAAACTTTCAATTTAAAACGGCTTCTATATAAAGTTCATAAATTAATACAGAATGATCTTAACGCACTAAAACTAATTAATTATTAACAATTTTGTTGCATCAATATTAAATAATTTTTAAATCGTAATTTTAAGTTATCAGGCACTGACAAATTTTTCTGAAGTGAAAATAGGAAGCAAAAAATACTACTCTAATAATAATGCAAATCGGGTATTTATTTCTGAACGGTACAAATTATGTAAATCACATCTGTTACAGAAAGAATATTAGCGCACCACTTTTACTTTTATGCATTTTTCCCTGTACATCCCTGGAATGACCGTTGCAATTATCTGATTTCAGATTCATGACTGAGATTACTTTTACAGAAGATGTAGTAGTTTCTTGTTTAACACAACTTCGACTTGTAGCTCGTAATTTAATCTTCCCGAGAGAATTTTTCAAAGGATTCCGAAATGAATCATAGCTCGATGTGCGGTTCTGACTACTTTTAGATGACCAAAATTCTTGATGATTATCTGAGGAAGAACGTAGAAAAAATTTGCAAAATCCTCGATTATCTGACAATTTTGCATCAATTTTGCGTTCTTTACAGTTTTCCTTGCTAACTGATGATAATTCTTTACAGGCAATATTTGATATAAATGTATAATCCACTGATGTACTACCACTATTTGTTAGCTTCTGTTTTGTTTTCTTCAAATTAGCATCTTCTTTTGAATTAATATTACCCAGTACAGGAAACAATGTGAATGATGTTGATTTTACCAATGCATATTCCCCGCGACGTCGCGGCATATTTTGGTTTCTTTTCGTAAGATTCTTTCTCACCAAATTATAAATTACTGAAAAATAAGTGAGAGGTCAGTCAATTTTTAGGCTAAAATACTGAATGACCAATCTTCCTTACCAAATATAAATTTCCTTAACTTTTATCTTTGTGAAATAATGTTAAATTGAAAATCCAAAACTGAACTGCTAACTTAAAGTGAAATAATTGAGTCCAAATATTAACCTTTACAGGCAAATATATTTTAAATATATTTTTCGTTAAAAGATTAACATATTAATGAACAGGAATTAATTTTAAGAAATAGATCATATCAAAGATTCTACTTTAAAGTACTCCATTACATATTTTTATGAACATGTGATTAACCTACTCTAACCTAATGGACTGTCTTATCATCTCAATCAGATCATACATCCTTCTTCCTTAGGCCAGATTAAGTATTACTTTATATCATCAGCAATGCAGATGTCGTATTTTTTTTGATATACTCCAATATCTCATCTCTACTCCACCCTTCATTACTCATCAAAAACCATAACTTATTCACTCAGCACAGATTAAATTACCAGTTCAGCAAAACCTTAATAATCATTTCAGAAAATTAACTTTGCTCTAAATGATATCGTGAAGTTAAATTTGACAACTGAATTTTTCTTTCCGCAAAAAATTATAATATTTTAAATTCATAAATAAAAATGCATTTTTCATAACATGTTTTAGCCCGGAAATTTATCTAAAAACAAAAAAAATGTCGATTTTTGATGGTGATGCTTTTTATTTAGAAACAAATCTGACAAAAAACAGAATCTAATGCACGAATTTTGTTCATGCAAAAAAACTTTGCATTCTTTGCTCGAATCAACTTATTAACAAAGCAGTTTGCATTTAAATACACAAAAATCCCTGATAACGTCTTGTTTTAATGATAAAAAGTACTTTGTTGTGATTAATTTAGATGCTAATGATGAAAAGTAATAGAAAAATACGAATATTAGATAAAATCATAGCCACCAAATAGAATAATGTGAACTAGTACATTTAACAATAAATCAAGACAATAAGGCTTTCCTGAACAAATGTTAGCCGAAGTTTAATGAAATACACAGATGCAAAATAATAATTCAGTTCAAAATAAATGAAACAAATGAACTTTTTCGACCGATACTATGGTCAAGGTGGATAAACTATATCAAGTAAGAAAAATGGTTGTGCAAATAATTTTAGCTTGACTAATTAAATATTAATGATTTATAGCAAGTAATTAATTTCACCTTAATCAATAACTAGAAGTGAAGAAAATCTGCAATTTCAGATTTATAAATTTTTAAAGAACTAATTTTATTTGTTTCACTAATCCACTTATCAGTAATATTAAAAAAATATACGAATCAGATTGTTATTTAATTCTGCTCTGTGTATTTTCTTTAATTAGAAAGTTGTCAAATGAAACAAACAAAGAATGAAATAATGCAAACTTCGAGATTCAATTTTTAACATAAACAAATGCAAATTTTAATTTTACCAAAACATCCTCTACTACCTTTGAGCGAATTCAAAAAAATAAGAATATGAAAATAATTTGCATTTGATGCGTTCTACTTGGGCAAAGTGTGTACGGAAAATGCATAAATGTGCAAAAATATACGCACATATATTAGTATAATGTATGCACAGTGGAGACCTAATTTTTTAGATTTTTGGCAAGTTTGAAAGAGAGTTGAACAATTGCAGTAGAAATTTTGAATAACTAAATTGAAAGTGGAGCGGTTGATGGAGGAAAGTAAAAGGAATTAATTTCTAACAATAATTAACTCAGACACACGTAATTAAGAGTATTGAAGAGAAAAATGGAATGTCACGCGTGAGTCTAATTTCAGCTGAACCTTCATTCTATCTTCAACTAAATCTCATTATTTCCTAAACAAGTACCAAATTAGCAAGGTATAGAGACTAAAAACCGGGATGAAAATATCTCTTTATTTATTATATATTAAATACAAATTTTTTTTTGCAAATCTTTTCAACCAGATGAAAATTTTAAGAAGCTAAGTTGTAACTTAAATACAGAATTTACATACTGTTCTAGTGTTTACCTCACCTTTTACCTTTAAATTTGCATACAACAATACTACAGATTTAATATATTTTTGCCTTCAACTAATTGCAACATTTGCATTAATACGCAATGCTACTTACTAACTCCAGTAATAAAACTGCTTACATTTTTAAAAACAATAACAATAACATAAAAATAAAAGCAGAATTTTTGTAAAATAAAATTATGGAAATAAAATGAAATACTTAAGTGAAGTGGAAGACAATGCAAATGAGAGAATAAAAACAATTTCCACCTGAAAATGCATGAAAAAATCATACCTCTTTACGTATTCTAAAATTTTACTCGTAAACTTTTCTTGAGATGCACATTTTTCGTACAATACATTCCTGTCTAATACTTATAGCTGACAAAAATCAGTTATTTTACACCAGATTACTCAAAAACTTATTAAAAATGATTGACATTAGGCAAAGTAAACGATCAAATAAAATAGAAATAATAAAAATTCAAACGACAAATAGTTAATGATTCTTTTAATCTCCATTACAACAGTGCTGATTACAAATCACTAAGAGTAAACAAAACATTCACAAGTTTCTTCTTAGTCTATTATATGCTTACATAAAACGTACGACTCTACAGTCATTTATGCCCATTTTACTTGTCAGTTGTTTCACATCATTTGCGATTAGAACTAGTCTAAAGAATGTTGAAGTGCGAAATAATATTTTTATGTATTATCAAAGCATTATCAGTTACGTTTGCTAATTGTGTTCTGAACAAAACAGACATGTAACCTCACAGTTTACATCACTAATATTACTTAAAATGAAAGATAAGCGAAGCCAAGAGTGGTGCTAAAGCTATTCATTGCCTCATTGACCCAGAAATCAAAAGCAAAATTAAGTATGTTGAGGGTGTCATTTCCTGGCCTAGGCCACAAATAAAAGATGTAAAATCGATCCAAGCAGTCCATCCACAACCGGGTACATACATCCGACATAATTCATAATAAAAATTTTATAACAAACTATACTATTAGCTTTAATTGTAAAACAGTTGTTACTGCTACTAGACTGCTCTTTCAAAGTTTATACTAATTATATTATTTTAAATTCCAATCAAAATCGCAATTTCATTTACTCAAATGAATTTCGTCTCGTTTCAATCAATCCCAATTTCCAATAACCGAAAAATAGTTATATCCCTGTATAACCGTGATCCATGATCTGACATACTAGACTCTCTAGGATACATGACAAGTTGGAAAAATAAAGTAAAAAAGAAAATTCGATGAATATCGATGCCAATTATGCTAAAGTCATACTTAAAGCGGAAATTATGCTTGATTCAAATCAGAAAAGGATTGATCTAAAGATCATTTTGATGTAATTCAAGCAATATTTCTAATTAACCTAGAAGAAAAAGCTTTTTCAAACCAAATTGCTAAAATATCTGATAAAAATTGCATCAGTCGAGTGAAGAATGATCGCTAATTAAAATTTCACAATTTCATATCAAATTAGATCGTTTAATCCATTCACGAATGTAATTAGCAAAGTAAATAATTACTATCATAACAATAAGTAAAAAAGTTCTATGAGAGCAATGTTAAAGTAGTTTACAATCTTTCCTTCTATTTGCACTCCTGGCACCTTTTATGCAATTATTTCACTTCCATTAAAAATCGAAGCATTTGAATGACAAAGTTTGAATATTTCAATAGCAAGAATTATTGACTTTTGAATTGAAACACATGACATTTAAATGACCTATGACATCCAATTAATATTATATCTTTGTCATTTTTCTTACTTTTCGATACCAATTTTACACTGCATCAATATTATCTGAGTAATAGTGCACAATGAATAATTTAAATTTAAAAACTTCTAAATAGGTTGGAAACTGCGGGTTTTAAAGGAATCGAAAGGAATAAAAAACTAAAAGTGACTAGAAAATGATAAAAAAGTTATTTGAAAATACTTTTACATTTTCAACAATTTTCAAGAAAAAAAGTTTTCTTCACACTTCCACACAGCACAGAGTATTGTCAGTATCAGTCAAACTAACTAAGTTTATATTATATTTTCAGAAATTTGCTATTTTTTAAGCTTCATTCTAAGCTAGTCAGTTTTTATGAGACAATATCTTCACATTCAGTACTAATTTAGCTTCCAGCTTCCCTTCATCTTCTTTGAATTAATAAATTTCAAAGAAGTTATCCCCATTTCCAATGCTTTCATTTTGAAAACAATAAGTTTCTGTCTCAATTTTATAGAGTGAAAACTACTAGAAAAAGCATATAATTGAAGTTATCACAGCTATTTTTCATAAAGTGTATGAAAACTCACTCACAATTTGACATTACAAAGACTAATATATCTCTTTCAAATCTGAAACTCCAGCAATTCTAGTATAATTGACGAGAGAATTTACACATTAAGTAACAAATCACATGCAATTTTTAAAAATAACGTATAATCTTGCATCGCTTAATTGAAATATCGGCAGTGAACTAAAAATCATTCCAAAAAATAGTCACACACATCAAGTTGAACTCCAGAAATAAGGAAGGATTTTGAACATAGTTTAGTTAATATATGACTTATTCACAAAGTAACTTGTTTTAAGACTAATTATAAAGTTAGTATTCTCTTGAATTACTCCAATACTTTTGTTAATTAAAAATTATTTTAATTTTAAAACTTCGAGTTAAAGGCTCTAAAGCTTGAGTTGTCAATAAGTCAAATTATTAATCAGCCATTAAAAATTTTACAAAATTGAAATTAAGTAATGAAACTTATCGAGGAGCGATAATTTGGTAGTTTTTTAAAGTAATCTCTAATTTTTCAAAATATGGCAAATTTTGCGTATTTTGAATTTATTTTTGCAAATCGGTCATGCGCCTACGATTTTATTTGTGTGCTTACATTACAATTTCAT